ATGAGAAATTCCAATGATTTATAAAGGCAGAAGAAAGAAGTACACAGACACACCCCCCCCCACACACACACCACACACACAGACACACACACATACCCTACACATATGCCACACACACACACGCCACACACACAACACACACAGAGACACAACACACACACGGGAATTTTCTACCTCCCTTTCCTAAGTACACCCCCCTTGGAGGAGAGGAAGGCTTGCAGAGACAGGCTAAGCATCCTTCCGAAGCGCTTGGCTTCCAAAGTACTGCACCTCATAATGCACTAACGGACAAACACAAAGAAACCCAGAAAGCCGTCTGCCCCGCTTGGTACATGTCCCTCAACTTACTCCATGGAGTCAATTATCTTCCTTGGCTCCACAGGGCATGGGTAGATGACTTCATCGATGCGCTTCAGGTTGCAGTTAGAAAAGGCAGTAGAGATGTGGATGAAGGCCTCCAGCTTTGACATCTGGCTGGCCATGAGCAGGAGCTTCTGGGTGGCAATGACGTTTAGCTGCACAGCTTCTCTGGAGAGGATGGAACAGAAGGAGGGAGGGCAGCCTCTCAGCATCCTGCCTCACTAAGCTGCACCTACCCCAGCACCAGGTGCACCAGGACTGGATCTACCCCAGCACCTGGTGTACCACACCAAGACTGTACCTACCCGAGCAACTGGTATACCATGCAGTAATTGTATCTTCCCAGGCAACTGGATCACCACACCATAACTGTCCCCCCACCCCCAGCAACTGGTGTGAACCAGCTGCACCTACTCCAATAATACACATTTCACTCGGATTTTGGTGGCTGCGTCAGGAGAAAAGACAAGAGTGAGCCACTGACTGTGGTGATGTGACAGTTGTGACGGACTGATGGTGTGGGGAGGTCAGTCCTAGTCAATGAACTACAACATGCTGTGTCTAGAGGTCATGTGGTTCTAGTCAGTAAGACAGAAGGAAACCACAGTCTGTAAGGGGCTTCTACAAGTAAACACTGAAAAGACAAAAAAATGAGGGTCTCAAGTTCAAAAATGCAGGCAGCCTGGTGGGAGATGACAGCAGATCTTTGAAGGAACAACAGAAGTTGCTGTTGTGAGGGTCAAGGACAGCAAGAAAACCGAAGTCAAAACCCTACATTGCAGCTGATAGTACAGACAGCTGGACAGACAGACAGACAGCTGTACAGACACAGTGTTAAACTCTCTTCCATCGCTTATTCAAAAGAATATGAACTTGATCCATTGCCAGGAAACCTGTGAATCTAGGTTAGTGCAAAAAGAGAGAAAAAAACTACCACACATGCACACAAAGACATAGGCACACATGCATGCACACAGGCACACGCGCATGCACACACACACACACACACACACACACACACACACCTACAAGCTACAGGACGGCAGCAGTGTGTACCTCAGATGGGCGTCAAAGCGCACGGTGGCCGCACAGTGGAAGACAATGTTGGTGCCGGACAGGAGCTCCTGCATGTCCTCCTTGCTGATGGCAAGGTCACTCTGGTTGAGGTCTGCGGAGATGGGTCTGATCTTCTCATGCACATTTGGACAGATTTCTTTGACTTTCTCAAACAGCTGAAACAGAAGTCCAGAAGCAACATACATCGAAGTGCCGCACATCCTGGTGTGCAGAGATTAGTTTCCTTATGCCCCCAAAGGTAGTGTTTAGTTGTAATACCAGTGTCTCCCGAGGAAGGCATCTATGTATTCATGAACCAGCTGCTTTATTTCATGCCATTTGGTTTAATTTCTGATCCTCTTATCTTGAGGAAGACTTGAAAAGAGCCAGTCCGACAACCAATCAATCAAATGTACATACTGAACTTTGCCTAGGGGATGATGATCACCCACTTCTCACCTGACAGCCTCTCCCCTTTAGGAGTCGTTTCTGATTTACATGTGGAGATAGTTTCTAATTTTGTCTGGGAAAGAATGGTTTTCAGTGCAGAACTAGCAGCCTTCACTAACCACCAGAGACGCCACCACCTGGTCCTACAGGCGCAGCAGTAAAGGTGTCTCGGAAGCACAAACATAATTGGAAAATAAAAACATCAGGCGAACGTGTAATGAGTAAAACAAAGGTTTTGTGCAATAATCTTCTAGTAGCAAAAGCAGTTACTGTCAAGTATTATACGAGGTTGTGCACTGTTTCATTGGATTCTAACTGATTTTTAATATTCTAACTTATTTATGAAGAGAGAAGGAGCACAGCAGTTTTACCTCTTATCACTGAAACGGAACAGGCTCTCTGCTTTTCCCTCCTCACAGAAGAGTCTTAGGTTAAATTAGTAATTTCCATTTTCTTAGAAACACTATTTTTTAAAAATTTTATTTATTTTATGTGTATGCTTGTATTACCTTCATGTATGTAAATGCACCTGTCGTGCAATGCCAGCAGAGGACAGAAGTGGCTGTCAGATGCCCCAGAACTGGAGTTATCGGGCAGTTGTTAACTGCCATGTGGATGCTGGGATTCAAACCGCTGTTTTAATAAACTATTTTGATGGGTTGGAATTTCCATATAGCATCCATGTGGTTAAATGTTTGTAATGGTGAAGAGCAGAGACCCCTCTAGTGAGCTGTGGACCAGGCCATCCACGTTCCTTCCTTCTGCTGGAGACCTAGGAGACTGTTTTGACGGGTAATAAAATGTTGAATCAGGGCTGGCGGTGTAGCTCAGTTGGTACAGTGCTTGCCTAGCATGTACAAGATCCTGGGTTTGATCCCCAGCTCTGCATAAAACTTACACCTGTAATCCCAGCACTCAAATTCAAGGTCACCTTTGGCTACATAGTGAGTTTGAGGCCAGCTGGGTTGCATAAGACCCTGACTCAAAACAAAAACAAAACAAATCACTGAATCAGGTAGTCAGAGAAGTCACATCCCATCTGTGTCAGGCAAGAACATGTTCATAGGTATCCTGGGACTGTGGAAAGATAGCTAGGGCAGGGACCCAACCCCACAGGCTGCTAGGCAAAGCCATGATCCTGTCCCTGAGATACCATTTCCTACATGGTTGGGTCAGCGTGTCAGTGGGTGTTACAGTTCTGAAAATAATTTGGGAGTTAGGTCAATCCTCACAGTTTTCTGACATCTGGGATAGATAAGGTTCATACAGTGTCCTAGGCTCTGTCTCAATAAAGATGTCATACAGACTCTTCTAGAACGATCTTTAGCAGTTTAGTTTTGATCCATCATAAACATGCTAAATGTTGGCTTTTACAGTCAAATGCCTTTCCCCCTTGAAAGTTCTTGATAGTTGTCAAACAAAGATATGAATGTGTAAAATGTTTATAATTTTTCCCCTTTAGATAATGGAATTTGTACGAGCCCCTTTTTAAGACTGTATGGTAGAATTTCTTCACTGAACTCTCTGTGACTTTGGAGAGGTGCAGGTGTTGGGTGAAGGGTGGAGGCCTCACAATCGTGTACTGCTTTTGAAATAGTTCCAGCCCTGAATTTGGACTTTTACAATGATAACTCAGGTGACCACATGGCCTCACAAGGGAGGCACCTGTATGAGCTCTGGTTTTCATTCTGGGTTTCACTGAATATAATCACATCTTTTCTAATCATGAGAGCCTTTGACCTCTATTCATTTTACTAAATCCCTCTCTTCAAATATAACCATATGATCTCGTCTCAACAACGTGCTGGGATTTGCTTATGATTTTTATTCTGTGGGGAAAAAATAGTGAGGTCCTTTAAGGAAAACTCTTGGAATGTTTGAAGTCCTGAAGTGAAATAAAGACTGAAGAAATTTCAGAGAGCCAAGAGAAAACAAATCAGTGGATTCTGGACATTCGTCCCAGGCCAGGCACACAGCAATTAAACATGTTCTTGGAAATCAGAGTGAAGAACTTGCATGTCCAATCTACAGTTACACACACACACACACACACACACACACACACACACACGCACCGTGAAACATCAAGATCTTGCTATTCACTCCTAAGTCTAATTAGGTACAAAGGATTAATCTCGAAGTTCTCAGTTGCTTCAGTGAGGCCCAGTACTGTAAGACCACAGGGCAAGGAGGTATGGACATGGGGTTGGGACTTCCCAAAAGGTTGTGGTAGGAGACGCTCAGTAAACACTTCTGGGTTAAAGCCTGGCAAGTGTGCTTTGTACAAGCCCTCTAGTGATTCTGGTAGGTGTGTGTCGGAAGAGCTGTGGGTATACTGGGAAGACCTCAGACTTTTGGTAGTCTGGAAGGGCTAGGCTAAATCCTCAGTCTGCCATTTGGTACTTATATAACAAGACCAAGCTGATAAATTCTCTGGGTCTTTCTTTTTTGCATGTTCATTTAAAATGCCAGGCATGGTGGTGCACACCTTTAATCCCAGCACTCAGACAGCTGAAGCAGGCAAATCTCAGTTTAAGGCCAGCCTTAAACTGAGTGAGTGCAACAGCAGCTGGGGGTACTGTCTCAACCTCCTCCCAAATTAATAACAATCATTCAAATGGCAATCATGCAATGGTGTCATCCTGTGACCTTAGAGAACTGGAGATTACATCAAGTTATTCTTAAGAACAGTTTTTCATTTGCCAAAACTTTAGTTCACTTTTCTTAAGAATCCATAATAAACTCTAAGTGACACAATATTTCAGTTCCTTATCTTGATACGCTTCATCCTCACTACAAAGAGAGTTCCATGGGGTCCTTTGAGAATAAGTAAGTGGCCAAGATGAGCCAGCCTAGAAGATGGAAATGAGCCTTTAACAGGGCCACACCAGAGGAGGGGAAGGTGCTGATGTACACACAGCCAGGGCCAACAACAGCTTCACTTCCTCATGATTTTGTCATCAAGAGGCAAGCTCTGAGAGGAGGTAAGTGTGCCATAGGGCCTCAGAGAGAATGGTTGCCCTGTAGCCCTGCTGTGCCGCCTCCCTGACACAGATTACATAGCTGTGGGGAGTGGATTAATTTCTTCCCTGTGACATAAGGCTAGACACTTAAGGATTTCTGAGAATAGATATGATAATAAAAGAAAGGTGCTTGACATAGAGCCTGTCCTTAGTAGGTCCTCGATAGCAGGGAAAGCCCTTTGACATAGAGCCTGTCCTTAGTAGGTCCTTGATAGCAGGAAAATTCCCTTTCTGATTCTAGTGTTCTTTATTTCCAAAAGCTGCTAAACACATCTCCACCCCCTACCCCGACCCCGTGCCCACGTGCCCCAGGCTCTGTGTATGTTGAACAAACTTCAGCTGACCTGAGTAACTGCCAAACTGAAGAGTGTCAGCCATACTTTTCAAAGTCTGCCTTTCATCAGAGAAGCTTCTTTGTGCGCAGTGCAGAAATTCACAACTGGTCAAAGTGCAGAGAATATGTGTCTGTGGACTCGCCACAAATGGGACACCTATGTCACATCCCCTCCCCAAAGCTCAAGGACCATCTTGGAAGAGAGGGTGGGACGATGTAAGAGCCAGGCCAGGGAAGAATGGTAGAGGACCAGTGTCTTCCGCACATACCAGACTGCTGCACTCACGAGCTCAGCAGTTGCAGTTAGACCTGCACAAGGGCAGCATTACTGTAGGAAGGGGGAGGGGTTCATGAGACTCCACCCCTAACTGGGCAGCTACCGACAGCTGATGGCTTCTTGGGGAGGGAGAGTCAGTTTTCTTTAAGCACATGGTCTCAGGTAGGTGGACCACACTCCGGTGGACGGCCCCACACCCAGGAGTATTCAACAGGTTATTAAAAAAAAGAGGACACAATGTTGGGATGGGGTAGGGAGATTAGGGTGGACCTGGGAGGAGTTAGGGGCAGGGGGATGAGTAGGCAAATAGGATCAAAATACACTTAGGAAATTCTCAAGGACTTAATAAAAATGTTTTTTTTAAATCTGCACTTGTTAATCATAGGAAATCAGTCATTCCTTTACAGTCTGTATTTCTTCTAGTAATTTCACATCCATCGGCGTCTCTTGCCATTATTCATTTACTTTGGCCTTGTTGGGGATTGAACCCAGAGTGTCACACCTGGTGGGCTGGCCCTCTGCCACCTGTGCACCCCATCCCAGAAGACTATTGTTCTCTGTGTTTCAGTAATGGAACAAGACAGGCTTGGGGCTTAAAACAGAAATCTGTTTCCAGATGACTTTGCCTCATATAGAGACTTAAGAGAATTCCGTACTGTCTATCATAAATTCACTTTTGGAAGAGAGGAGCTCAGATTTTCCATGGGGCTAAGCGTGGAAACAGAAATGCAAATGCTTTTTTCTTTACAAAAGTTATTGAAAATCAACTGTGTTAGATTGTTGATCTTCTGTTTTTCATCTTGAAAGTTACTATTTTTATGTCAAATAGTTTTATTTACCCAGTCTAAAATATGTGCATTTACCAAAGCATCATTTTGTACTCTATAAGTATATAAAAATTTAAGTTTATTTCATTATACTGGGCTACATAAGACTATGTTCATGTAAACATAATGCGCTTAGTTCATATTCAGAGTTAGTATTTTTTCAGTTACTTTGTTTAAATGATTTTGTCTACACGTTAAGGACTGATTTAGCAAATGTCTTCTAGGAACTGAACAGTGAGTCTTCAGATGACTCAACAAGGTGTTGTCTCCAGTGTCTTTTAAAATATGTATTACTTTCATTTATTTCTTTTTCATGTATATGAGCATATTGCCTGCATGTGTGTAAGTGAACCCATATTGTGCAATGCCCATAGAAGTCAGAAGAAGACAGTGAATCCCCTGGAACTGGAGTTATGGGCAGTTGTTAGCCACCATGTGGGTGCTGGGAATTGAACCCGGGTCCTCAGCAGCCAGTGCTCTTAACCACTGAGCCATCTGTCCAGCCCATGTCTTCTATGTCTTAAAGCAAGCCATACTCTGTGAGCCGAGATCATGGTTCTGAGCCCTGCCTGACTGAGCATCCTTTGTATTTCAAAGTTCATTTGCTCCAGGGACAACTGAAGGCTTGTTGAGTAATCCCCATTTTTCCAGAGAAGCTGATTAGTGTTCAGTGTAACCTGCCAAACTCTGCCTTTGTCTGTAAGTCACTTCCTCATGCCACCTTGAAGGATAGCTTCACCTACTTCCCAAACTGTGAACGCTGCATGGCCCTTGTTTATTCTAAGTAAGCCCTACACAATCTCTTAGGAACCACACCTATCTGAGGGCTGCAGTCTCACAGGAAAAGCCCAGCCATCTTTTAGATTTGGAGTGCATAACCACTCTTAATTGGCGAAATCACTTTAGATATATTTCACCACGTGGGCTTCCTGATGGTCTCTTAAGGAATTACTCAAAATGTGCTACCAGAAGCTGATGATCCTGGCAAATCTACATGGGACATGGGAAGCAGCAGGACTCCCAGATTTCTCTCCAATAATTTTCTAATTTCACAGGTGAATGATTTATTCTCAACTCACTGTAATGGTGGGGAAAAGCCACGTGTGTGATGGAGGGGAAGAGCCATGCGTGTCACAGGGGGAAGAGCCACTGCAGTTACAAATGGTCATTAGCCACCATGTGCATGTGGGAAGGGCAGCCAGTGCTCTTAACTATTGCACAATTTCTCCAGCCCCTAGTTTTTTTCTTTTTAAAAGGTGTTTTTCCTCATCAAACAAGTAACACACTCATTATTATTATAATTAGAAAATACCAAAAAGTAAAATTAACCCAGGATGGCATTTTGGGCCTTACCTTATATTATAGTGAATACAGTTTTACATCTGTTTGGGTTTTGGACATAGAAGCATTTCCTCACACCAGCTGCTTTGTAAACTCTGATGTCATATTTACAAACTGATCCCACATGTGTATACACTGTTTGTTGACTCGTGCCTCCATTGTAGAAACTATAACTCTCACTACAAAATACATTTGCACATTATTTTTCTGTCTTTGGTTATTTCCTTGAAGTTCTCTTTTAATTATCCTTGTGAGAAAGTCCTTAAGAATCCACTGTGAATTCAGAATCTTTCCTCCTATTGAGAGTTTCCTTTAAAAAAAAAAATGCCCTGAAAATACTTAAGACATGGAGTCATTAGTAAGAAAGTAAGTATCCTTTTCTGGTTCTTGGTGTCCAATGGATTGAACATGCCTTCTGCTAAGCATCTGCTGCTTAATCGCCTCTGTCTCTGAGAGGAGAGACAGGAGGTGTGAAGTGGCCTCCACCTATGTCAAGGAAGGAAAAGACAGACGCAGTGTATGAATTTCAATGGGCAGAACGGATGCCATCGCAGCCATACTCCTGGTATACATCTGCAGTCAGGGGCAAACTGGTAACATACCTGTTCATCATAACATTTTCTGAGCCTCACACATCTGACACAATTTAGCTGCATTCAGGAGTACTATGGCTCCCACGGTGGGTCAGAATTCATCCATAACTGGAGAGAAACATTGCTTAGAAGTCAGACTAAGTGGACTGGGGAATGTGACTCAGTGGTAGAGCACTGGCCTAGCATCTGTGGAGTACTGTGTTTGAGGCCCAGCACTACACAAAAAATTTAAGTGATAAACTTTTTTTATTAAAAGCTACATGAAGGCTCTACTGAGGAAAAGCTTACATCCAAATATAAGCGACTGTCTTTGTATCAAAATAGTAGTTAAATGTCAAATCTAGACTGGGTCTTGACTCACTTGAGATCCTCTATTCAAGAGCTGCACAGTTTGGCCTCCCATAGGAAACACTCACCCTGACAGAACATTCCTCAGAGTAAGAGAGAAGTTGGGGAGGGACACACAGAAGAGACCCAGTCTGGTTGGTGAAGACCACAGGGAACCATGACATGGAGAGAGGCTTGGGAAGGGTTGTTTGCGGTCAAAGCTTTTAAGCCCAGCATCCACATAAAGTCAGGCACGTGCAACCCTGGCACTGGGCAGTGAGACAGGTGGATACCTAGACCGGCCTCATGTGCGCACACCCACATGCCACACGCACACACTTAAAAAGACAGGAGGGGAAAGCTATGAAGCAGCATGAGAGATATTAAAGAAAATAGCATTTTAAACTGTGTGAGCTGTCGCCAGTCAGCATGGCCACGTCCGGTGCACACTGTGGACCAGCGGGTTCTGTCTCAGCTCGTATGTTTTGATTCCACTTTTGAGGAGGCAGAACATGTGTAGCTTGGTCAGCTACAGCCATGTGGGCCGCTCCAATCAGCCTTGATACAGGATGATTATTTAAGTGCCCATTTCCTAGTAATTTTGCAAGCTTCTATGCACTCTTAATTGAAGAATGGACGAGAGAAAAAGTTTCAGGCATGGCAAGCCCCGTTTCTCAAAGGGATTTGTCAAAGCTATAGCATACTAATTACCCTATGCTTTACCCTATAATGTTCGATCTAAGGCTGTTTTGTTGGCTTGACTAATTGGTCACGTGACTGACACCCCACATCTGGCTGAGTGTTAACACTTAATAGACACTCGACCGCTAGTTGCTGAAGGAACTTGGATTTTATCACGGAAACACTCTTTCTTGTACTGCCTCATCAATCCTTTCACTGCATCTTTTACTTGGAATGGGCTGTCCTACTGTGTGAACAAACCATGTGGCTTCCTTTTCTGTCTATAGCCCAGAGTCATGAACAACTGGCCCTAAATCTGCACACATCCATAGGTTCCCACCTTTGTGCTATGCAGCCAAGACTGGAGCTCTGTAGACAGAACACATTCCCTACCCGCCTCAGCAGAGATGAGCAGAAAGAACCTTCCAGAACGCAGAGCCACTGGCCACAAAAAGTGTTCCAAAGGAGGCTTCCTTCCAGAAGGGCCAGTGAGAGACGAGGCAAGCCCGTCCCCTCTCCCCCTGGAACCTTGTCAAGTAGCCTTCTCGGTTCCTAGCAACTAGGATTTCTAATGGTCATAGTCCAGCCCTGCCATCGTCCTTCAGGAGGCTGAGCAGGCAGATTGTGAGTTTGAGGCTAGCCTGAGCTACATAGCAAGTCTCTGTTGCAACACAACAACAGTAAAAACCTATTTCTTAGGCTGGGCATGGTGGCGCATGCCTTTAATCCCAGCACTCGGGAGGCGGAGGCAGGGGGATCTCTGAGTCTGAGGCCAGCCTGATCTACATAGTGAGTTCCAGGACAGCTGGGGCTACAGGGAGACCCTGTCTCCAAAAAACAAGTATTTCTTACACATTTCTACTTTTATCTTTGATAGAAGCCATAATGAATTGATGGGGAGGGAATGCAGAAACTGTGTGTGTATTTAATACAAGTGTGGAGCTCGCTCAGGCGATCCCTAGGCTAGTTTTAGGGATAATAAACAAAAGAACTTGTCTGGGTAAAAGAACTGAGAGGTTACTGACAATATCTTTATAATACACAACACTATATTATTTTACACATGGTATCTCATTTAAGCATCACAAATCCCTATGAAATAGCTATTGTTCTTTGATCCATTTCAGAGATAAAGGAAAGCAAGACCTGGGTAGGCAACCACGGAAGGCTTGTGCTGCCAGGCACGTTTCTCTGACGTGGGAAGGAGTGGGTGGAACCAGGTCCACAGCTCTTTCTTCTGCCCTATACTGCTGCCAGCACAGACACAAGAACTAACCTACCAGTGGCCTGTTACTGAATGCTTAGACTGTCAGCACCATCCACCATCTAGAACACAACTGTGAGACACAGAGCAAGTTAAGAATACAGCCTAACTGGACTTGTGGCGCCAAGGAAGGGCCAGGCTCAGGCAAAGGTGTCCAGAGTTTGAGCATCAAACAAAGAGCATTCAGTACTAAAGGTTGCCCCAGTGCCCCACTCCCCTCAAGCCCCACCTCCTAAGCCTTCAGAATTTCTCAACCAGGTGGAGAGTAAGCATCAGACATGAGCCTGGTGGGGGACATTTCCGATTCAAACCACAGCATAGATGATCTCTCCTGCCCCAGGTGGAATCGAAGCGCCTCTGCCCTCTGAGGGAAAACAGGTGGTGGTGTCAGGGTTTGTGTCCTTTCTCTCTATGCTCTGCTTTCGCTAGCAGATGGGAGCTGCTCTGTCTCATTCCTGTTACTGTGATAAAATACCCAGACAGAAGCAACTCAAGGAGGAAGGGTTTACATCGGCTCACAGTTCAAGGCACAGTTAGCCATGGCTGGGAAGTCACAGAGCAGCAGCGTGAAGGAGCTAGTCACATCGAACCACAGTCAGGGTCAGAGAAGATTGGTTCCTTGTGCTCAGCTTGGCTCCTTTTTATACATTCCAGAATCCTACCCCTGGGAATGGTAACACTCACACGGGGGCGGGGGTTGATCTTCCCACCTCAACACCCTATTCACGATAACCCCTGAAAGCGAACCCATCCTAGAACACTTCTCACAGGTGTGCTCAGAGGCTTGTCTCCCAGATCCTGTCATGTTGCCACCACCAACCATCACAGAGCTATAGAGAAACATGGATGGAGTCATCTGGTCCCAGGGCATTGCCCAGCATGCAAGGCCCTTCCCACGAGACAGACCTTACTATTGAGGATCTGGAACACCCTCTCCTGCAGCGTTTGGCCAGCCTTGGGTCGTATAAGGATGTAAATGACTTTCAGCTGGGGGCTGGTACGGAACAACTTCTCCATCAGCACCTTGCCGAGGAAGCCTGTGGCGCCCGTGATGAGGATGGATTTGTTACTATAGAAAGCTGCAACCATAGACATGATCTCTCCTTTCCTCTTGGATGTCTCTGCGAAGAAGTTCCTGAAGAAGGGGAAAAATTCAAAAGGTTATGATCTCAGAAGTTCTAAAATACACAGCTGTTTAAATGGTGTTCAGGGCTTCCAGAAGGTTCTGAATGGAGGAAAACAATGTGAGAGTCGGTGTTTTGGGAAGCAAGGTTCACCCCAGTCCATATTTACTGAGCTTGCTCTACATGCTGGACTTAGGTGGGGACAGTTGAGAGGGACAGGGTTCCCGACTCTGGGAACCCTTGAAGTCCAAAGGAACACAGACACACCAAGAGACCTTAGCTGTGATGGGGTAAGGGGAACATGCTGGCTCACAGACTAAGGTTGAGTGACTGCAGGCACTAGGGACTAGGTCTCGAGGGTGACCTCGAGTGGGCTTGAGAGCATGAGTGGTCCCCGAAGTTAGAAACCAGTGCTCATAACAGCCTTCAAAAGTTTAAAAATTATAATGAGGTTAGTATTTCCACCTCAGATTTATGGAGCAACCACGTTGGGGCAAACAGCAAATCTCATCCGCAGTACCTGAGGCCCCTCCTACTTGCCATATCTGCTTTCCTGTTTTTCTCTTCCCTGGGATTACATTGGGTGGCAGTGACTTCCTGCAGATGCCATTCTCGAGTTTGGCCATTGCACACAACAAAGGCAGAGCTGGTTGACAAGGGAGGCCTGAAACCACAGGCTTTGGGGTACCCTGACAGAGCCACGGCCATGGTGGCTGCCCAGCCCATGTGTGCAGAAACACAGGAAAAGAACTGACGAGTTAGGTGAGGACTGGAGGTGGCACGGAGTGTCTGTGCCTGCTGACATAAAGCCTCTCATGGGCCGTGGAAGAGCAGTCAAGTGCCCTGTCTTCAAGCTCAGGCAGACTTGACCAGCTGTAGCCCAGAGGGCTCTGAAAGACCCGACCCTGCAGGCGGCATACAACAGCTGTGCTTGCTTTCTGTTTGCTGACATCAACAGCAGAAGTCAGCAGCCTGCTTGGCGAGGGGGTGGTGGGGAAGTGGGGATTCTGGAGCACAAATCTCCAGGACCTGCCCTCACATGGGGCCTAAGAAGATCAGAGTCAGAGAAGGCAAACGTTGACAGTCTATCTCCTCAAGGCTGGTCAAGATTGCTCTGCAGGAGATGCCATAAAGGCCATGCATTTTTACAGTCATATGCTCCTGTTTGAGGGTTTTGTAACTACATAGTTGGGCAGACTTTTTTTTTCTCTAATGGAATTCATTCATGAATTTACTGGACAAACAATCCTGACCTCTCCTATGGCAGACAAGAAAATTCTGAGGATGACTGAAATCAAATTCCAGTTCTAATATGTATGAGCTTTGTGTGCTTTGTAAAATTGTTAATTTTGCTCATCCTTTATATATCATAACAAACCTACACAGACCTTCATTACTTGCTTAGGCTTTCTCGTTTTTTTCTATTTTGGAAAATATCTCCATTCCTGTATCCTTTTAACATCTTTTACATTCCCATTTTCTTTTTAAATAATTTTAAGACATAATAACATTAACAAATAAATTTTCCATCTGTTGTGAGACTTCTTTTCCTGGAGATACTAAGCAATGTTTATCCCCTTCTAAGGTTCTAATGTCAAACCAATGTTTGATTAAAGTTTTCCTGGGGAACCAATGATTTACTGAGCTTACTTACAGACATGACTGAGTGGTTGCTGAGGTGTATGTATGACCTGAGGGTATGCACACTGGAAAGCCTTTACCCAGCATGGATCAAGCCTTTTCTTCATAGCCTTCCCCAGATTATATGCTTTAGGCTTCCCCAAATCCAGGAGACCATGTGTGATTAGGGCCAAATTACATATAGTTGGCTGGGAAGAGTGGCTGGATATTCCGGTGAGGGTCCAATGACCCTGCTTGCCCCTTCTTTAATGAAGGACCACAACTGTCAACAAGCCCAGTTGTGACGATGTTTAGCAAGCAGGCAACAGCTGAAGTTGTGACAATGGCAGTTATTTCATGCAGAAGAGGCTGCTGTACAGCATCATATTAAAGGAACATGGAATTCAATTTCCTCATAAGGAGATTGAAAAAGTATCATTTAAACAGGAGTATGATAAAGATGAAGTCAGTCAATAGATGTAAAACCCTTAGAAAGATAAATTGTCTGCAGTTCACACCCAAGTATTACCCAACTCTATAGTCATTTGTTTTATTTAGTGGTATCTGCCATTTTGGGGACATTTTATTATTATTATTATTATTATTAATATTATTATTATTTCATTATTATTCAGTTCTGGGGACTGAACCAGGGTGTTGTGTATACTAGGCAAATACTTTATCACTGAGCTACACTCTCAACTCTACATTTATGTTAAATTAACCTGTCTGAAGTATTTTGCATATTCTTTTCTAAAAAGGTGTGTGTGGGGGGAGACACAACTTATAACTTAGTTGATCAAAAGAACCAAGTAAAAGCTGGGTGTGGTGGCACACACCTTTGATCCCAGCAGTTGAGGCAGGCAGATCTCTGTGAGATCGAGGCCAGCCTGGTCTACATAGTGAGTTTCAGACCAGCTGGGGTTACAGAAGACCCTACCTCAAAAAAACCCCAAAACCAAAACTCAAAAAACAGCCAAGTAATTTTACCAACTATAACTTGATTTGATGAAAAAACTCTTGCCTATTTCTTTAGATATAAAAATGTGTAGGTGCTGGATCCTCCAGTGTATTAGGCAGACAGACAGATGCAGCTGGTGGCAAAATATGGACAGAAACTAAGCTTGAGATTCGACTGTTCTGGTCGTGTCGGGCACCTGAAATAAGCTCTTGTAGATGCAACTTTTAGAAACGTAGACCTGCCGTGGAGGAATTCTGTTCCCAGGCAGCTTTGCAACATATAACTTACAATTTAAGACCAGCTGGGGTTACAGAAGACCCTACCTCAAAAAAACCCCAAAACCAAAACTCAAAAAACAGCCAAGTAATTTTACCAACTATAACTTGATTTGATGAAAAAACTCTTGCCTATTTCTTTAGATATAAAAATGTGTAGGTGCTGGATCCTCCAGTGTATTAGGCAGACAGACAGATGCAGCTGGTGGCAAAATATGGACAGAAACTAAGTTTGAGATTCGACTGTTCTGGTCGTGTCGGCACCTGAAATAAGCTCTTGTAGATGCAACTTTTAGAAACGTAGACATGCTATGGAGGAATTCTGTTCCCAGGCAGCTTTGCAACATATAACTTACAATTTAAGAGCTATTTCCCTTCCCTCTCTCCCTCCTCTCTTTTCCCCTCTCCATCTTTTCCTTTTTAAATGAGGCTCTTTCCTGAAAAGCCAAGACCGACGTGTCTCCAAATAATGTAATTTTCCTGCTCTGTGTAGAATCCAAACATCTCTCAAACACAACCGACACCCTGGCAGTGCACCTGGGTCCCTTGATAGGAAATGAAGGGCCAGCCTGGTCCCCTTCCAGGACCACCTGGGACTGGGCCACCTGGGACAGGCAGGCCAGGCGCTCATCAGCCTGCAGGATTTGCAGAAGGGTGAGGACCACTTTCTTCTGCCCTTTACTTCCCAACTAAGGCAGGGCTTGATTCTTTGCAACTTCTACACAAAACTCCCTGAAACCCAATTCCATACTAAATAATATCCAGGGACTGTTAACCCTTAATATGACTGAGAAGGAAAGACACTATTTTAAACAATCTTGGTATTTTCAGTCTGGGTAATGGACTCTATGCGACCCTGGTGGGAGGAGCCTGTTAGTGACATGCGGCCTGCTGCTGCCTCTCACGGTGCTCGGATTCCTCTATGTGGAGCTCCCTACAGGCCTGACAGGCCGGGGTCAGAGCATCAACCTGCCAATCACGCTGAACGATTCAGGCAATCTGATGCCTGAAGGAGGATGGGGAGCTGCGGAGTCGGACTGCGCATGCTCACTGGAGTATGCGCGCAAGTTCATTAACTAGACCGCACATGCACACCGGACTGCGCATGCCCACTGGTCTTCTCTGCAACAGCCACCTGCAGGGCACTGGGCACAAGATAAGGAGTCCTGTTTCCACTTGGTCTTTAAAAAGATTTTTTTTTTTTCAGTTGACACATGACAGTCAGCTGAGCCGCGCTCTTTCTACCCGGCAGCTTCCTTTCCTCTTCCTCAGCCTCTTCCACCGTCACAGGCAGAGATGAGTGGGTTTACCCTCCCTTCGGCGTTCTCAGGGGACAGATGTTCAGCAAACATACAAAGAGCTGAAGAAAGGAATGACTATACCAAGGGGTTGCGGAAAGAAATTCAATGAAGTTATAACTGTGGAAAAGTACAGCTATATCACGAATGTAAACAGAAATAAAAATGACAGAATTCAATACTCATGTTTCATTAATAACTTTAAATATTAATGGAATGAAATCCCTAGTCAAAAGACACAGACTAAGCGAATGGATTAAGAAACAAAACCCATCTTTTTGTTGTCTGCAAGAAACTCATCTCACTTTCAAGGACAGACACTATCTTAAAGTGCAAGGATGGAAAAAAATAGACCAAGAAAATGGTACTAAGAAATAAGCAGGTGTAGCAATTCTAATATCTGACAAAATGGACTGTAAACTAAAACTAATCAGAAGAGATAAAGAGGTCCACTTCATTCTGATCAAAGGAACAATAAATCAAGAAGATATTACAATTATGAACATATATTCACCAAACTCTGGTGCACCCAAATTCATAAAAACAATACTACAGGACTTTAAGACCCAGATTAA